AAGTCAAATGAGGATAGACTAGTTTTTGGTATGGTTGGAACGTTTGAGCTCCATAGTAACGGAATACTCATGTTTTAGAAGTTTGGTTGTTTTAGTTTTTTTTTCATTAATCTTTTTAGAACGTGGTAGGACGACTAAAAAGATTAAACTATTGGAATCAATTGAAACTAAACATAACTCAACTAGTTAAGATATATATATTATATTAAAAGTTCAGAAATTTGACTATTCCTTCTATACTTTATATCATTGAACTCGAAAAAGTAACTAAAATGTTCGAGGTTTGAAACAACCCGAGGTTTAAAACTCGACGAATTTATATGGACTATGGCTCAATTTAGTAGGGGCAATTGGATTATAATGGGTTGGGCAATTGGGCCTTTTAGAAAGAAAACCAATCATGGATCCCTTCCATCTCTAATATATGGATAGGATATGGCCCTATATAATCCGGATGAGGGTTTGACTTGGGCAGGGTCGGAGTTTACTCCAATGCACAGGCGATGACAGAGAATATAATTTTTGTTTTCATTTAGCCAATGAGAAGACATATCTCCTCACTTTCTTCGTTCGAAACAGACTAAATAGACATCTTTATGTCAGTATATAGATAGATGTGCATCATTAAAATGAAATAAGGTCGGACATTTAGTCTATCATGATGATCAACTTTTAATGTCATGAACATTCGTTTCAAACAAATCTCGATAAAAACAATGGATGACAAAATAACTTTATTTAATAAAATGCAACAGAGATAAACATACATCATACACATATATTAAACAAATTGAAAATATGAACAACTTTTATTTCACATAACATAAGGCTTGCAAGAATCCAAAGACAACATCAAAGATAATCTTTAGTGATCGGTGAAGAAGATAAGGCGACGACCCAATGTCGTTTCAACCTTTCTCCGATCTTTTTCAGTGACAATTGTTCCAATTTCTCATTTTCTAAGAGAACCCATGATCAGATCTTTTCTTCCCCCTCCAGTTCTTTGTTCAGTTAGCAAAAGCTCAATGAATTTTCAGTATCTACAATTCCCTTTTCGTTAGCTGTGGCTCAACTTCCGATGAAACTGTTGACGGTCCAAAATGGGTTCGGAGAAAAATTAAAGAATAAGAAGATGAGGATCACCGTTTATTGTTCTTCATTATTGCCGTGGGATTCAGCTTTCGATTCCTCCTCTGCTTCAAGATTTAGACAAAAAAGGTCCGTCCCTTAAGATATCTTAGCTTGTTTTTATTACCATCCATGTTTTCTATTGAAATAAAAGTCAATAGTTAACAACTTCCCGTTTCAGTCGGTAGTGGGTTTGATTTCTTCAAGCTAGATATTATTTACGGGAAGTTAATCACGCCATTCTTCGTCTTCTTCATTTTGTTATTCTAAATTTAAACATTCTCTTATTATACTGCTCGCGGCGGAAGAGATCAGGGGTCTTCTAAAAGCTATTGAAAAGAAGTGATTATGGCGGTGACGGATGAAAAAGCGGATGTCGTAAGGCTTGAGGTTTGTAATCAAAATCTTGGGTAGTAATGAAATTGTGAAATCTCTGATGGGTATTGTTATTTTTGTTGAAAGGGTAAATATAGTGCAATGATTGTGTGTTGGCTTCTTGGAAATGGATGCCTGTTTTCTTGGAACAGTATGCTGACCATTCAAGATTACTATGGCTATTTGTTTCCGGTAATTTTCATTGTCATGAGCAATTTAGTAGCCTTGAACTTGAAGGATTACAATGATGTTATTTCCCCCTTTGAAATGTTCTACAGAACTACCATTCTTCAAGGGTTCTTACTCTTGTGTATCAGCCATTTGCGCTTGGAACACTCTGCATACTCGCATCTTGGGAAGCAAATATCAATACCAGAAAACGGAATCTCTTTGGATATGTTCTGTTCTTCATTTCCTCCCTCTCGGTTTTAGTTGTAAACACTGGTTTCTTCTTTCTTTTTGTGTTCTTGTGTTCTGAATATGTAAAAAGTTTATGAAACTGCCATTGTTAATGTTTTATAGTTGGATTTAGCAACATCTGGTAAAGGAGGTCTGGGTTCCTTCATAGGAATTTGTGCCATTAGCGGTGCTTTTGGGATTGCAGATGCTCATGTTCAAGGAGGAATGGTTGGGGATCTTTCTTTTATGCAACCAGAGCTCTTGCAGGTTAATAATGTCACTTTCCATGGTTTGTTCATTGACTTGTCTGATGATCTTTCCCTGGCATCAATTTTGCTTTACCTTGTCTCAAATTTGTAACTTTTTTGGGTGTTTTTTGGTCTTGAATTCCTCAGTCTTTTCTGGCTGGCTTGGCTGCCTCCGGCGCTCTTACCTCGGGTTTGAGGTTAATTACTAAAGGAGCATTTGAAAATTCTAAGGGTGGCCTTCGTAAAGGAGCTCGTAGGTGCTCTTGTTTCTGGTTTCTGGTTTGTTTTAAAGCAAATTGGTGTGTGCTTGGATTATAACTTTGAACTGCTATTGATATAAACATATTGCATATGGGTTTTGTTTGTTGATCTCTATATAGTAGGCGAATGGCCGTACAAATTAAGACCGATCTATCGAATCACTGTTGTAACAGCTTAAGCCCACCGCTAACAGACATTATCCTCTTTAGGGGTTTGTAACATCCCAAATCCACCGTTAGCAGACATGTTTTAAAACCTTGAGGGGGAGCAGAGAAGCCCAAAAAAGACAATATCCCCAAGCGGTGGACTTGGGTGGTTACAAATGTTATCAGAGCCAGATACCGTGCAATATGCCAATGAAGACGCTGAGCCCTGAAGGGGGTGGACACTAGACAATGTGTTAGTGAAGATACTGAGCACCGAAAGGGGGTGGACACTAGGCTTCACTGCTGAGCCCTGAAGGGGGTGGACACTAGGCGGTGTGCCAGTGAAGACGCTGAGCCCTGAAGGGGGTGGACACTAGGCAGTGTGCCAGTGAAGACGCTGAGCCCTGAAGGGGGTGGACATTAGGGCAGTGTGTCAGTGAAGACGCTGAGCCCTGAAGGGGGTGGACACTAGGGCGGTATGCCAACGAGGACGCTGAGTCTTAAACGGGGGTGGATACCGGGCGGTGTGCCAAAGATGACAATATTTTCTAGCAGTGGAATTGAGCTATAATAACTATTTTTTTATATTTTCATTTGATTTTTATGAAGAAATGGCTTCCTTTAAACTAGTGTGTAATATACAGAGAACACAGTTATAGCCTTAATGACATCAGACCCCTCCCTAAAGACTGATTCTTCTACCATTCTCTGCAGTTTTGTTCTTTGCAATCTCAACATTTTTTGAGCTTCTCTGTGTTATCCTCTACGCGTTTACTTTTCCAAAACTGCAAATTGTGAAGCATTTTCGGGCCAAGGCGGCATTAGAGGGATCAAAAACAGTTTCAGCTGACCTTGCTGCTGCTGGGATCCATGGGGTAGCAGATGAGGTATGTAACATCTCAAAACATCCAAGCATCTTCTTATCGAACTTGGTCGAATAACGCATAAGAATTACGTGTAGGCCATGGGGAAAGCAACCGAAGTCGAGCGACTAAGCAATAAAGAACTATTGTCACAGAACATAGATTATGTAGTTGACATTTTTTTGATATATGCTCTCACATTGTCCATTTTTCCTGGATTCTTATCTGAGGACACTGGATCACACAGTTTAGGAACATGGTATGTGTTTTCACTTGCACAATTCATTAAATGATTATTCATGTCGAGGATTGAGCATATCTCTTGCTTCTCTCAGGTATGCACTCGTGTTGATTGCATCGTACAATGTTTGTGATCTTATTGGGAGATACATTCCGCTCATCGAATGTATAAGGCTAGAGTCACGGAAATGGCTTATGGTCTCGATCGTTGCCCGTATCTTACTCCTACCGGCATTCTACTTCACAGCCAAGTACGGCGATGAAGGTTGGATGATACTACTCACCTCATTCTTGGGCTTGACTAATGGCTACCTCACCGTTTGTGTGCTCACTTCTGCACCAAAAGGTTACAAGGTAAGCTTGGTTAAATAGAAGCTAAAAAGCGCAAGATTGAGAAATAGTTTGTGTTAGGAATTACGAACTTCCACAATGGTACGATATTGTCCACTTTAAGTATAAGCTCTCCTGACTTTGCCTTTGGTTTTCTTAAAAGGCCTCGTACCAATGGAGATTTATTTAAACCTATAATCATTCCCTTAACTAGCCAATGTTGGACTCCCTCCCAACAATCCTCTCCTCAAATAAAGTACACCATAGAGCCTTCACTGAGGGCTATGGAGCCCTCGAACAGCCTCTCGAGTCTAGACTCCTTCTCTAGAGTCCTCGAACAAAGTACACCTTTTGTTCGACACTTGAGTCACTTTTGACTACACCTTTGAGGCTCACAACATCCTTTGTTCGATACTTGAGGATTCTATTGACATGGCTAAATTAAGGGCATGACTCTAATACTATGCTAGGAATCACGCCCTCAACAATGAAATGATATTGTCCACTTTGAGCGTAAGCTCTCGTGGCTTTGCTTTTGGTTTTCCCAAAAGGAGTCATGTCAATGGAGATTTATTCCTTACTTATAGACCCATGATCGTTTCCTTAATCCTAACAATCCTGTCGTGCATTATTAAGTAAGAATGTTTGTCTCACTTGTTGTGCAGGGACCAGAGCAGAATGCCTTGGGGAACTTGCTGGTTCTGTTCTTACTTGGAGGAATATTTGCAGGAGTCACCCTGGGCTGGCTGTGGCTTATAGGCAAGGGCTGGTAAAGTAGTGTAGATTTATAGGTTGTTTGGGAATGGTCTTTAATAATTGCTTCTTGCAAAGCCATTTTCATTATAAGTGATTCATTACAGTTCTCTTAGATTTGGTTCTATATCTTTAAACGTTTGTCTGTGACTCGTGGAGAGACCCCATTTTTGTGAGAATATTTGAAACGTTTCACAGAATTCAATGCACTTCAAACTGGAATATTTACTGCTGTAAAAGAAAACAAAACTGAAGCAGATCTGTCCCACCAAACCCAATTTTACTGTAGGGTTAAGAAAAAAGACACAAAATCAACAGCTTTCATGTGACAGACACGACATGGTCTTTCCCTCCAAAATAATCCAAGAAACTACGGCCCAACGGAACCTCATATTACGGATGTGTCAAGAACCAGATGAAGGGCACTGCTGTTAAGGGCAAGAATGGATACATGAAGGTCGAGGGTGATGAAGTGGAGGACTGTGTGTTCTCAAATTGAAGGGAATCAACGGCCAGTGGCATGTTTTCTTGATCTGGGCTGCACTTTGAATCGTGAGGCGGGTGGGCACTGTACATTATGGCTCTTAGAACCGCTGAAACTGTTGGAATGTACGCCGTTTTGTTGCGAGCGAGCAGCCATGTTAGCCCCATCAGTTGGCAGTCTCTGTTGAACATTTTGGTTGCTCTTTCGGTGGTGCTGGTGTCTCTAGCTCCCTTCACCTGATCGGAAACATAAATTAAGGAGCTAAAAAGGCGAAAAGATCCCATTTTTCAGCTACCCATTTCAATGTGGGAGTCGATGAGATAAGAATCGTTACGGTTAAGTTGTTTTGCAGTACCTTTTGGAGTGCGCCGAGGCATTTGGTGCAACCGGAGTAGGATGCGTTGCGGCAATTCTTCTCCAGATCACGCACTGCCGACGTTGGGGTGGCGTTGTGGAAGCCGGAGAGATTGAATGCTGCTGGACAAGACAAGGAACTTATCTGGTGGAGACGAATTCCACAGAAGCACAATACAGCGTCGCAGCTGGAATTGGGCTGCGGAATTCTGATGTTTCGCTTCACCAACGAGTTTTGTAATGACTCCACGCATTTCTGGGAATCGTCTGGCATCAATGGCAGATCTATTTCGGCTGTTGGCGCTGGAGCCGACACTTCTAACGCCGACCTGGCATGAGCTGCAAAGAGCCATGCCGCTAGCACTGGACAGCACCGGCTCCGGTCTAGGTTCCCATTGCAGGCTTGGCTCACTCCCCCGAATAGCTCGTCGGATAGGTCCAGCCGACAGACTTGAGTTTCAGCTTCTACTGGGATGGCCGGAACAGAGGATTCCCCTGTTACGCCAGCAACAGAAACTTGGAACAGAGTCGATAAGATCATAAGGATTGATGAAACTACAACCATCAGAGAGACCATATTTTGAAGTTTCCTTGATGGGTTTTGTTTTTTATGATCGGGGAAGAAATGGGTTGCGCATACAAAGTCGAGAGGAAGAAGATATAGATTGGTCGGGAGCACGAAGGTTGTTAAAAAGAAAGCATTCGAAAGCGGATTTGACTGAAAAGGGGATAGGATTTGATGTCTTTCTACAACCAAAAATAATTCTAAAGCAACCTCGCCAAAGGAAAGCGTAAAGATCAAGAACAAGAAGAAGAAAGTGTGAGGGATTGAAACGAAGTAGAATTTGGTTTGGTCCGAAAGATGGTCTCTGAGATAATGAAAACAGGACATGACCACATGGGGTCTAACATTTTCTAAAGCGACAGAGAGAGAGAGAGAGAGAGAGAGAGAAATGGGCTCTGGTTTAAACTTTTATCTTCCTACAGAGGGCATCAAATAGTCGTCCCGGAGCACCATGGGACGACCACAGCGGACCGGCGGAGGACTAGTTTCTGAACTTTCCGGCTCGGCGGTGGAGCAGAAGTACCTAAACTAAACCAAACCCATGGTGGGTTTTCCTCAGAAAGGAACGAAGAAGAACACCATGATGGGATCTTATCCTCTTAAAAACTGACAAATACAAAACACACAATTGGGTTTGGCATCATAGAAGAAAATGTGAACAGTCCACAGCGACAACATCGGTGGCGTTAACTTAAAAGACAAACTGGAAATGTCAATCAAGAAGAAATGATTCGGAGGAAAAGCTCCGGCTACGGCGGGGCCCTTGTCTCTGTCACACCATGAGAAAGGCCGCTGCTTTTTGCCTAACCTCCATTATTTTTCAATCATATAAACCTCTCTTTCAAAGTTACACCTTCATTCATTATACTCATCGCATAAAAGATGCATCGCTCGCGTATTGTAATATGAGAAGAAATTGAGTTTAAATTGAGATGAGTTGTTGAGATTGTTGTTGTTATTGAATATCTCAATCAATTATTGACGAAAAATATGAAAAAGTCAGCCCATTAGTGGAAAAAAAAAAAGGGGAAATGAGCTGAAAAACATGAGGATTCTACCAAATACAATTTTTAAGTCAAAGTTAAATTGGCCATTACACCAAATCAGTAGACTTTCTTCTCTCCAATTTTTCAAACGAAAAAAATTTCTTTGATTCAATTTTGGTTCTTTTTCTATGATAATTGAGAGTCCTTGTCGTGACACATGTGAAACTCATATTTTGTTGAGGGCTTTTATGTTTCTTTTTTTGTGAATGTAACAACTAAAATCTACCTCATGTAGATATTGTTTGTTTTGACCTATTATATATCGTCATCAACCTTACTTGATAATGACGAAAAGGTTGGTATTGAACTATTTAATTAGCCAAATCCACCATGTGACTTCCCTAACCTCATTCCCATTCTTTCCAGGAACTTCAAGGAGTTGCTTTAACTCGATCCATCACATTTTAGCCCTCTTCTGTGTATTATGGACTTCCTTGCTGCTAGGAGCTTGGAGCCCAAGATTGGTTCAAACTCTCGTTTAAATCTCTACGCTTGCAACTATAGCAACTATATTGACAATGGAAGAATAGGTGAGGTTAGGTGTAACAGTCCAAGTTTACCGTTAGTAGATATTATCCTTTTTAGATTTTTTCTTTCGAGCTTTCTTTCAAGGTTTACCTCTCTAATCGATATGAGATCTCGCACTAAATGCAAGCTAAAGTAGGAATAATCAATCGTATTACAACTTTCATATGCATCAGCAAGTGATACTACCTTGTAGTTTGTAGCTTCACAAGCTGCATCAGCAGGCTCATAACTATTCTAAGGAGGATCTCTTGACTATGTCTTGAACATTAAAATCAATTGAATCAAAAGAAAATTCACTTTGTTCTAAGTTATCAATCCCTTCTGATAAAAAAACCTGAGTTCTATCAACCAAAAAATGTACTCGAAATCATACTGATAAAGTGTTTGGCTCTCAAACTGCTACCTCTTGGAAAGGGTAATCTGTGCTTCTTCCCTTCATCACAACTTTCTTAAAGAACAAATCATCAAATGCATCAAAGCTTTGTTGTTGTAATGACCAAAGCGATGATGTCACTTCGGCCTTTAGTGCATTATGACATAAAGAGTCATTGTTCACACAGAAAGCATTTCTAACCATGATGACCCTTGCAATCTCTACTCCTTGTGGGTCATAAATATCATTAACTTGGTCCTTCCAAACCATGAAAATCTTGTTATGCAACAATTCAGCAAGTATATATAAAGTCTCCCGTATTTGATAGTACCTTTTCTTTAAGACTAACAGCGATACGTAACGGGTTAGGGGAATATTTCGTTTCTCTCTCTCCAATTGATGTAAGGTCTTGTTAGAAATCACGACTCTCCACAGTAGTATGATATTGTCTACTTTGAACATAAGCTCTCATGGCTTTGCTTTGGGCTTTCCCAAAAGGCCTCGTACCAATAGAGATAGTATTCCTTGATTATAAACCCATGATTATTTCCTAAATTAGCCGATGTGGAAATTGCATCCAACAGGTCTTACAATCCACCTGCTTGGGGGCCATCGTCCTCACTGGAACACTCTTGGTGTCTGGTCTGATACCATTTGTAACAGGCTAAGCCTACTACTAACCGATATTGTTCTATTTCCTTTTGAGCTTCCCCTCAAAATTTTAAAACATGTTTAGTAGAGATCCTTGTCATCAACATGAAAGCCATAAACAATACATTTGCTTCTTAATTATTGTTGGTACAATATGTTTGCTCTTGCAGATGTTGGGCTTGGTTTTTCTTGACATAAACTTCTTCGTATAATCATTCTGGTTGCATAATCACAATGATAAACTTGCTTGTTTTTGGACCAACGGGAGCATGATTGGTTCTTTTTACAATAACAAGGAGGAAGTTTACCTTTCGAAGCTCTTCCTTTTCCTTTGCTCTCATATTTGGTTGGCTGTCAATCATCTTCTGCAACAGGATTCTTGCCCTTTGGTACTGCCATGAAATGCACCCTCAACATGTTCCTCATTACACATTGCATCCCTTTGTTCTTGAGCAAGTAAATGTGATACAAACGTAGGAACAGAAACTAAACATATTCAAGATCGAACCACTTAAAAACAATAAAAACAAGATCAACCTAAGATGTTTAAAGCAAAATCTTAAGAGAACAATTAAATCTAACCATAAATGGTATTAAAGCGAGAAATTGAGCGATATGCCAGCGAGGAGGTTGAGCCTCAAATGGGGTGAACACGAGGGGGTGTGCCGGCAAGGATACTCAGTCTCGAAGGGGGTGGATTGGGGGGTGCCACATCGATTGGAGAAAAGAACGAGTGCCAGCCAAAACGCTGAGTCTTGAAGGGGAGTAGATTGTGAGTAGATTGTAAGATCCTACGTCAGTTGGGGAGGAGAATAAAGTATTGGTTGTAAGAGTGTGAGTAGATTGTAAGATCCTACGTCAGTTGGGGAGGAGAATAAAGTATTGGTTGTAGGAGTGTAGAAACCTGTCTCTAGTAGACGTGTTTTAAAAATAAAATATTTGTGACGGTAGCGGTGGGCTAATAAAAGATTTTGGAAGATGGGTCAGAACCACATGGGAAGAAGAATGGATGAGTGATTTTCTTCTATTACTTGAACACCTAAGAGGAACACACTCATCTGATCTATACCATGGCTGCTAATCATCATACTCCTTACTGCATGCACTAATGTTGTCTTTCCAAGCATAGCTTTTTCAATTCTTTCCAAGCAAAAGTAGCTCACTATGTTCCTGAAGAAACAGAAGAACAAGTGGAAAGGAAGAAAAAGTGGGAATTTAAGGGAGAGATGGTGCTGAAAATGATATCTTTTGGCCCCCCACCATTAAATTTCAGAATATTTAGGATTCATCTTCCTCAACCAACTTGCTATTTCTTCATTTACATTAACCCATTGATGGGACTGCAACTTTTTCATTGCTTGTTACCTAACAGTTCTTCTGGTTAAACATCCAAAGATTCGTAGTTAGCAGAGTCTCTTGTTTCTTAATAAAAACAGAGCAACTGTCGGGCAGGGCAGGCGTTGCCAACTAAAATGCAAGGATGATTCGAAGAACAGTACAATGGAACCGTATTCCTTGTCGGGTATGACATAAATAACCGCATCTACAGCTTCAGCCCATCAAACGATCCAAATAGAAAAAACCCAAAATAGAAATGATCCAAACCGAAGTTGGAAGAGTTGTTTTCGAGAGAAGCGAGTAAGCAAAACCCCTTTTGTGATAAATCCCAAATCCATAAGCTTCTCGCCAAGCAACCAAGGAATCTACCGACTTCAATGGCTGTCGCTGGTCAGAAATCAGACCTCGATGGCAAGGTTTGGAGCCTTTGTAGTATACCCTTTTGGCAAAATGGCAATGTCTCCTCGTCTTCTGGTTCTTCGTCGACTGCTATTCATCGCGTTAATGAGCAAAGTAATGGTCATAAGCCAACAGAGAACTCGAGCTCCTATCCTTCTGGCAAGGTTTCGTTCATTGCGAAATCTCTACTTCCTACCAGAAGAAGGCTTCGTCTCGATCCTTCCAACAAGCTCTACTTTCCATGTATGTACCCTATTTTCTCATCTGGGTCGCCATTTTTTTGGGTTCATAATGAGATTTTGTTGCCTTTTTCGTTTTGTTCTTACAACTGTGGTCGTCCTCCCCTGTTCTCTGGCTTGATGATTACTAAATCACTCCCTAAAATCGATCTGTTCTTGCTTGGGTTTTGAGAATGTTTGTCATTTTTGTTCATCTTTTCAGATTGCTTCCACTTTTTTTGGTCGAACAGCCAAGTTTGTTTAGTTGTCTGATGCCCTTGAATTCCTCTCAGCTTGTGTTTTGTTTTCATTGTCTTTCTCTTAAAGATGAACCTGGGAAGCAGGTAAAGAGTGCTATTGAGATACAGAATACGAGCAAGAATCATGTGGCTTTCAAAGTATGAATCATTTCCCTCACGAACTTTTATCAGTTTTAAGCCTACCCAATGCAGCCTTCTTACTTCTTACCCCCTTGAATTGTTCTAGTTTCAAACGACCGCGCCGAAGAGCTGCTACATGCGTCCTCCTGGCGGTATACTTGCTCCTGGTGAAAGTATCATCGCAACGGGTAAGACATTCATCTTAGTTTTGAGCTGCATTCCTTGAACTGAACATTACAAGTATGAACAGCATTTGAAGTTTTTCTGAGGTTCTTGTATCTGTGACTTTGCTTCAGTGTTCAAGTTTGTGGAGCCACTAGAGAACAATGAGAAGCCTGTGGATCAAAAGAGGAGGGTTAAGTTTAAGATTGTGAGCTTGAAAGTGAAGGGTAACATGGACTATGTGCCAGAGCTGGTATGTCTTGCAGCCTTAACTTCTGAATTTACTATGCTTTTCCATGCTTTGAGTTTGTGACCAATGCTTATATCATTATTGTGCAAGAATGTGTAACAATCCAAGCCTACCGCTAGCGGATACTGTCTTCTTTAAACTTTCCCTTCCGAACTTCTCCTTAAGGTTTTAAAACGCGTCTACTATGGAGAGGATCTAGCCCTACTCCGACCCGTGTCTTGCACCTTCTGGAACCTGGCTAGACCCCCTAAATAGTAGACGCGTTTTAAAATCTTGAGGGAAAGCCCAAAGAACAATATCTGCGAGTAGTAGGCTTGGGATGTTACAAATGGTATCAAAGTCAATCACCGAACGGTGCGAAACACTGGTCAGAGTAGGGCTAGACCCTCTCCAACCAATGTGCGATCTCACAATCCACCCCATTGGGAGCCAGCGTCTTCACTGACACATTGCCCGGTATCTGGCTTTGATACTATTTGTAATAGTTCAAGCCCACCGCTAGTAGATATTGTTCTCTTTTGGGCTTCCTCTCAAGGTTTTAAAACGGTCTACTAGGGAGAAGTTTTTACACCCTTATAAGGAATGGTTCGTTCCCCTCTCCAACCAATGTGGGATCTCACGTTAACAAACCATAACGCACATCTTCAAGTGAAAGACCAATTATAATTCACGCTAAGAAGAAGTTTCTGATGGTAATTTCAAATAATGGCATTTTACAGTTTGATGAACAAAGAGAACATGTAGCAGTTGAGCAAATACTGCAAGTTGTTTTTCTTGACCCGCAGCATTCTAATCCTGTAAGTATTAGTAGTAAGAGGAGAGAAACACACTAAGTATGGTCAAGACTATCAATCTCCTTATTGGTTTGGATTCTTCTCCTGTTTCAGGCTTTGGAGAAACTCTTCCGACAACTAGCTGTGGCCGAGGCTGCAACTGAGGTGCGTCAAAAGCCAGCAGAAGAAACAGACCCGAAAGTCGTTGGTGAAGGACTCGTCATCGACGAATGGGTGAGACAACGAAACTGTTCTCAGCATCCTCTTCAAACCTTATTAAGCTTTGCATTCTCTGACATGCTATGGTTGTTCTTCATTTGTAGAAAGAAAGAAGGGAAAGATACCTAGCTAAGCAACAGGTTGGAGGTGTGGATTTGGTGTGAAATCGAGCTGGTCATGTTATGAAAGTTGGAATCACATTCATGTGTGAACCTTTCTTTGAGGCATTCGTCGTCGAAGAGCAGTCATCAACATCGACATTAGCAATCAAAAGCGAATGGCTTAACGACTTGATTTGTGATGGCGTTTCATGGTCTTGTGTTTGTTTGATTGATTGGGTTGCTGTTTCTGTTGGAGTTTGAAGGTTTTGAGGTAAATAGTGGGTGTTGTTCTTGAAAAGTGTTGCTGTTTGTGATAAAGTTTGGGGCAAATGAGCCAAAGAATCAAGTCTTCAAAATAGCATATATCTTGTTGAGAGGCATCATTTATGAGCCCACTTGCTGTGTGGAATGGTATCTGCTTGGTTTATATCTCCCTTTCTTTGAAATCTTTCCCTTAGTGCTTTCCTATCAGACAAAGGCACAAAAATGACTGCATATTATAGCCATTCCACATCTTATGAATACATTCTAGTGAATCGGGCGGTCGCATTATGATCAAAATACTAACTATGCTTTACTCTTTTTGAACGTTTCATTTTTATTCAAAATACCTTTATACTTTGTGTGAGATCTTACGTTAGTTGGAGAAGAGAACGAAATGTTTCTTACAAGGGTATAGAAACCTTTCTCTGATAGACATGTTTTAAAATTGTGAAGCTGACGGCGATATGTAATGAGTTGAAACCGACAATATCTGCTAGTGGTAAGGTTGGATAGTTATAAATAATATCAGAACAACGAGAGAGAAAAACGAACAGTAAAATGAAGTTGATGTAATGCAATGACTGTGAAAGGATGATTTTGTCCCAAAAGTGGATTTGGAAAGGCAATTATCACATATTCCCACCATGTTATGAGTTGGATAAGATATTAAAGATATAAGCAAATTAAATTAAAGATGTTCTTTTCGAACAAAACACAGCTTGTTTTATCTTCGATGATTTTATAGATATGGCTATGTCAGAGACATGACTTTAATACCACTTTCTGGGCATCATGATTGTAACAACTCAAGTCCACCGCAAGCAAATATTGTTCGCTTTAGTCCGTTATGTATCGATGCCAGCCTCACGGTTTCTCTAATTGATGTGGGATCTTATAATCCACCCCCTTGGAGCCTAGCGTCTTTTTTGCTGGCACACTGCCTGATGTCTGGCTCTCATACCATTTGTAACAACTCAAGCCCACTACTAATAGATATTTTCTGCTTTGACCCATTACGTATCGTCGTCTGCTTCAGGGTTTCTCCAACTGATGTGGGATCTCACAATCCACACTCTTGGGGACTAGTGTCCTTACTATCACACTGCACGTCAACCTCACAGTTTTAAAACATGTCTACTAGACAGAGGTTTTCACATCTTTACAATGAATGTTTCTTTTCCCTCTCTACCCGACGTGGGATCTCACAGCAACCTTTTATATATCTCCACGATTGTATATATAATCTGCTTTGAATATAAACTCTCGTTGATTCATCCAAAAGTCATTCATTAGACTCTTCAAATATAAAAATACAAATAATCCATGAAGATTAATCATAGGCGGACCTGTCGAATTGCACAATGAGCTCATGCTGACGCCAAGCTGAGTTGGAAATGCCACAAATTTTAAAACATTGTCCTTTTTCTTTGTCAGACGTATAAGAAAAATAAATAAATAAATATTTAAGATACTTCCAATACCATACTGCACTCCCACGTGAGACCCATTGCCTGCCACGTGGTTGTGTATTTCTATTTAACACTGTATCTGGACTATAATCCCTAACGCAACCACGTGTATCCATCAACGCCTCGTCATCACAACACGACAATTTTAACACTACCATTCGAATAATTGCACTCTTTTTATTATTATTATTATTTTCTTTCTTTATTATAAATTTGGTGACATGGCTGGAATTAGTCCATGCTGGATTAGCCACGCCATGCCACGTCGCTTACATTTTTAAATTTTAAAAACATAATTAAAAATAAATTCTATCGAGGCTCTCGCAAACTATATAAGGTAGGCTTTGCCTTTGCTCCGCCGAAGCCGGAACGATTTCTATTCCCCTCATATCGGAAGCTATTGGAAAATGAGTTATCTAGGTCGGGTATGGATGGCGGCGAGTGTAGCCGTAGTCCACGGCGGCCAATCGGACGCCCGCCGCGGATCGGCTGAAGGAATCTTAACTCTGCACCGAAATGCGGAAACAACCGCCGTAGCCGTTGATCTCCGCCAATTTTCAACAGTGACGAGTCACTCGAATCGCGATGGAGACGAGAAGAGGCAAGCCGATGAGTCTCTCCGCCGAGTTATGTACTTCAATTGCTGGGGCCAAGGCTGAGATTTGAGAACGACGGCAAGGACATGAGCGATCGAGAGTTTTTGCCCTTGTTTAGGGCTTTTTTTTTTCTGATCGGAAACGAGGATCGTCTCTGTGATTGTTGACCCTTTTTTACAGAACGATCTCATCCTTGATTGTAAATTACTGGAATCGGGAACCGATTGATCGGAACCGAGGATTCGTGTAATTAAAACTAAATGTATAAAGGAAATCAAACTGTTCACGATTTCGGTGATTTTTTTTTTCTTAATAATCATCAGCTTTGTTTATGATCCATTTCTGTGATCCTTTCTGGTGATGGAATTTATTGATCCAATCGATCTGGAATTCGTAATCGAAATTGCTGAACTCAATTCTTGACTGATGAATTGATCAAAAAGTGGTGACCCGAAATCTCCAGTTCGGGTTTAGGCAAATTTGAGATAGAACACTATAATGAGTATCTATTTATATGAAATTTTTGAAGAATTTCGATATTTGAAGGGAAATTTTTAAATTTTTAATTCATTAAAGTTGTTGAAATCCTTTTAGATTTGATTATTGATAATTTGCACAAGAAATATTTTGAAAATCTTTCTTAATTAGGTTAGAATGATGGTCCTTTTCGGGCGCCTGGTTCGGGGCCCCATCTTATCGATGAATCGGAGCGTGATGCTCTCCTAATCCAACGGCCAGGAATCCATGCAAAAAAGAAGAGCGCATTCTTCCAACGTCTATATTTCACCAACGGTCAAAAACTCGAAAATATAGAGAATTTCACAATCCCTCCCGATCTCAAAATCTGCAGTTTATTGTGTTTGTGTTGTTCAAAATTTGCCCGTTCTTTTTCTTCTTTTTGCTGTAGAAGTTCAAATTTTTCATTGAAATTCGCCTACCCAGAAACGAAACATGAGTGTTCTTGATCACCCTGATGACATCGAGACCCCAAACATTCAGGTCTGGAACAATGCTGCATTTGACAAAGGAGAATCCGGTGTTGGAACACTTTCTTGGTCGATTATGCAAGATTTGTACAAGAATCCCTGTTCCGAATCGTTCCAGATTGATTGCGGTAAAGAGAATTTATGCCCTGCTTCTGTCAAGTACTCTGTTTCTGTGGATCCGCTCAATAACAATGGCGCCATTGAAAAGTCACAAGGAAAGCCATTTAAAACGCCCGCCAAAAGCTATGGAATCAAGGGAAAGGAGGAGGGGGAGGTAATTTGTAAGGAGAGAAATATCGATGAAGAAATCGAGGAAACAGAGAGGGAAATCAATCGATTATCGATGAGACTTAAAGCGCTACAAATTGAGAAGGCTGAGCAGAACGCTGCAAGAACAACAATCCAGAGTGGTGGAAGATTCGTGCCCATCAAATCAATTGTGCCGAAAATGGGTATCCAAAATTCAGATGGGGTTAAAATGTTTGAAGACGCTTCAGTTGAACGGAAAATTGGTCTCAGAGGGAAAAGTTTGGGGCCGTCGGAAATCTACGCCGGCGTTGGGTTTCGGCGGCAGGGAAAGACGGAACTAACACCAATTCAGCAGATGAAAAGCCGTCGACAATCCTGCCTTCCGAAATTGCCAGATATTGACGAAGCTAAGACGAAGAACAGAGGAAGAAACGGTATGAGCCTTAGCCCCAAATCGCGGAGGACATTGATCAAGGCGCAAACTGTGCGGCAGCCAGCCACCACCATCGTATCCAAAAGGCCGGCGAAAAAAGATGGGGTTGGGGTTGTCGAATTAATCCAGCCAAAGAAGCTCTTTAAAGACGTTGAAAAATCAGCCCCACCCACCAGCACCAAAAAGCCATTGAGGACTGGTAGGATTGTAGCGAGCCGTTACAATCAGACAAGCGAAAGCGCCCAAGTAGCCACAGAGAATCGCAAGACATCTCTGCCGGGGAATTGCAAAGATGACGGAAGCAGTCGTTCTTCATCAGAGCTATGCCGGAGCAAGGCGCCGCAAAGCAGAGTGAAGAAGCGGTGGGAAATTCCAAGTGAAATAATGATACTCCAACAAGAAATGGAAGAGGGATGCTGCGGATCTCCAGTTTCCAAGCTGGGCGATATGCTTCCAAGGATCAGAACGACTCGTTGTTCGAACACAACTCCAAGGGACTCTGGACCGGCCAAGAGGGTGGCTGAATTAATTGAGAGTAACACAAATTTCTTTGCTGATACGGAGATGGAAGCATCGATTTGTCAGAAGTTAAATTTTGCAGAGGATGAAGAGATAAGCGAGTTTGGTGGGCTATAAACTGGTGGATCTGTTGTTATTGTATAACCAGATGAAGCATATAAAGGGATCAAGCTTTCGTTTTCAATAAGTTTTGTCTCTATGATATCAAAGACTTCTACTACATGAGTACCAAAATTTAAAATCAGATGCAATGAAAGTAAAACAAAACTGGGATTTGAATGAATGTAAGGTTGGTTATAGTTATAGTTGAATTTGTAGAGTTTCTGCTACGAAGATGATATCAGATTCTGCTTGAATCTCTGCCAAATATGAATCTTCTACCCCAGTCTGATAGGACCAGAACCCTCGTGCGCCAGCTTACTAGCTTGCTGTAAAGATAGATTCATAAACAAAACATTAGTGTAACACTCCAAACCCACGGCTAGTAGATATTGTCTATTTTGACCCATTACGTATTGCGGTCAGCCTCACGGTCTTACAACGCGTCTGTTAGGGAGAGGTTCCCACACCTTTGTAAAGAATGCTTCGTTCTCCTCTCTAACCAACGTGGGATCTCACAATCCACTCCCCTTCGGGGCCCAACGTCCTCGCTGACACACCACTCTATGTCCGACTATGATACCATTTGTAACAGTCCTAAGTCCACTGCTAGTAGTATTGTCCGTTTTTGCCCATTACGTATCGATGTTAGCTTCACGGTATTAAACTCTAGGGAGAGGTTTCCACACCCTTATAAGAAATGTTTTATTCTCCTCTTCAACTAACGTGGGATCTCACAATCCACCTACTTGGGGCCAATGTCCTGCACACTGCTCAGTGTCTAAATTTGATACAATTTGTAACAGTCCAAGCACATCGCTAGTACCGTTAGTATTATCGTCAGCCTCACGATCTTAAAACGTGTCTGCTAGGAAGAGGTCTTCTCGTCAACCGACGTGAGATCTCACAATTAGAGAACAAGAATGTTGTGGGGTTTGAATATGCTTCCAATGACGTTTGGGGTTTGTGGATTTTACCTTGTATACACGGAGTACCAAAGCCACTGGCTGCTATGACCTATTGAGATCCAATCTCCAGGTAGTTGAGCTGCAGTTTGTTCTCCACCAAGAGGAGCAAACTGCCCAAAATGCTTGTACCTTAACACAAAAACAACCAAACTTTCAGTCTAAAAATACCAAAAACTCACCCATTTGATCCACTTTTCTTGTTTTTACCTAAAGGGACGAAACCGATGTCGCCCCGTCCCTCTATATCGGAGAGGGCCTTCCGGGTACTTCTCACATTGTTCCATCTTGTTGAAGCAGGTTGCAAGATACTCACCTTGTTGAGCAGCAACCTACAAGAATTTGAAAAGAACAAAAAAATTAAAGATATAGTAGTTGAAGCAGCATTAGAATAAAGATTAGGATGTATGAGTTCACTTGAGCAGTAGCAGGCAGATTTTTCATCTGAGCATCGACTTCGGAAAGTAAGGACGTAAAGCTTTCGATATCGAGCTCGGTCGACTGTTTCTGCGTGTCCGATTGCGACTTCTTCAACAAGGCTGCAAAGTTCTTCATCTTATTCTTCTTCAGATAGATCTCTACTTGAGGGTACCTCTCACAAATATCCTTTACTGCTTCTTGAAACTCTTGCAGGGCTAAACTTCCTGAATTGTCTGTGTCCGCCTTGCTGAATATCACAGCAATATCTTCCTGCAAGTAAAAGGGTATCAATCAAGAAGAAAGCCATAACAGCCCGACCCATTGCTAGCAGATATTCTCTTCTCTTTCGGGCGTTTCCTCAAGACTTTAAAACGCGTCTAAGGAAAGGTTTCCGCACACCTTATAAAGGGTGTTTCGTTCTCCTCCCCGTGAGATATCACAAAAGCACGGCAAAGGGAATGGAATGAAATGAACTCTGAAATTACCATGACTTTTCTTTGGTTTATTGTGGCACAATCACCAAAAGCATAGACACCATCACATCCTTCAACCCTTAGCCATTCATCAGTAGCCAAAGCTCGTCTGTTAGTCTGACCGATCTGCTTCATGAAGTCGACGACTTGAGGCCGAGGACCGATGCCGGTGGACCAGACAACCATTCCATAAGGAACAGACACAAACTCACCGGTTGCCCTTTCTTTTGTGGAGATTTCCTTATCAGTTACTTTCACAACCATTGAACCAGTTTTTAAGTTAATCCCATCTCTTTGAAACTTGTCTTCAGCGAAGGCTGTAATCCTCTTGTCAAACCTATAAAAACAAGTGTCCTGAATTTGAGGCTCCAAGGAACCAACCATATAATACAAAGAAGCCAAAAAAAGCAGCCCTTACATGTTCAAAATATGATCGCCTGCCTCTAAGAGGGTGATTTTCACGTATTCTTTCAATGAAGGATACAACTCTGCTAAATCCTCTGCAGCAAAGTCATGAAGTTCTGCTGCAAATTCCACTCCTGTTGGACCTCCTCCAACTATAACAAAGTGAAGGGTTCTCTTCTTCTCTTCTTCACTTAGATTTGGAAGGCTGGCTCGCTCGAAACAATCGATTACCGACTGACGAATCCGCTGAGCATCTTCCACTCCCTTCAAGAAATGAGCATTTTCCTCTACTCCTGGTGTGTTGAAAGTGTTGGATTTAGCTCCCATGGCTACTATCAGATAGTCGTAGTCCACTGAAAACTCTTCCTTGCCACCCAAGTTCGTGTCTTGAGTTGATCGACAGAACACCTTCTTGTTCTCTGCATCTATCTTATAACACTCAGCTTCCCTAAATTCAATGCTCAATCCTTTCTGCAACGTAAAACACCAAATGGGTTACCTTAATCTTGGCAAAACACTGTCAAGAAGAACAGAGTCACTACGAATTTCAGTACCTTCTTGGTGATGCTACGAATTGGTTCGACAATGCTGCGTGCCTCGACGGTGCCACAAGTGACACTAGGAAGCAAAGGGGTGAAAGCGAAGTAATTATGAGGGGATATGACATGAACATCATAAGAGGAGCTCTTGAGATTCTTCAAGAAGCTGGTGCCGGCCCATCCTGTTCCAAGCACCACCACCTTCTTCTTCTTCTTCTTCCTCCAATCATCATCTTGTTGGACGGCATCAGCAAATGCAGAAGGGTACAGAGATTTGCCATTAGTACTTGCCACCAGCCCACCTCCACTGCACATCACAACAATGAAGATCATAGCATGAAATATAATTGAATTCAAAACAAGAAAACAAGAAAAGAAGAGAGGAAAGAAAAAGGGTCGGTCAAGAACCTGGCGGCCAAGACGAGGAGGAGCTTGGAGATGTTGGGATGGTCGTGATAAGCCTTAGAGGCTCTGTTGTAGAAGGAATTCCATGCCATTGTGACAGCCCTGAGTAGCTTGTTCTCTTGCGGGAAGAAGTGAAGGGAAGTTTTCTTTATACAGAAGAGCGACGACGAAGGAGTAACTGCCAAGTTTTTTGTGTAGAAAAAAAACGATTCACCGTTGATTTTGATATCCAATAAAGTGGGAAAGAAGGACAGGTGGGATTGACTGACACAGAAATCTGCAACGAATTAGGAAACTAAACACGTGGGATTTCATCTTCCATATATATTTGATTTATTTCCGAGTTTCTTGGAAGTCTACGCTAATGAAAATCTCCCGACCATTGAATTAGGAATTAAAATCTCCATTGGATCAATTTACAAGCTAATAATATCACTTCTCCCAAAAATATATTCAATCCAAAAATATATCCCTATCCTTCATCCAGTATGCGTCCAGGGTTAGGTAATCTGTGAATCATTCTTCAAACCATTAAATTTGAAAAAAAGGATTCGATTTCGTATTTTGGCTGAAATTTTAAAAAATAGATTGAATACAAACAAGTTTAAAAACTATATTACAAAGACAATTAATCAAAATGAGGTTGGTTGATGATGTGTTAACAAAAGCATAAATTTTTTTTAATTATTATTAATTTATTCATTAACAAATATAAATTTATTAATTTACAACAAAATGTAAAAGATTTGGGAGATTCTCAATTTAAAGAAGTCAATAAGAGATTTCAACAAAAAATAAATAAAGATTTGATTTTGCTAAAATTTTAAAAATTCCTTGTAAAAATTTATGGATTTAGGAATTGATGTCTTAAATAATAGAAAAGTGTAATTATTGAAATATGTGAATATATAAATATTTCAAAGAACATACAATTTTCAATATATTATAATACATTCATAATTTATACGAGTGCTAATAGAAAATTGATTATCGAGTTCATTTGTATTTATTAAAACTTATATATTGAGTAATAATACTGAAATTTATCAAGCTTGTTTATGAATTGAACTCAAGCTTGTTTATGAATTTATCAAATTTTACAATTCACTTGATGCATTGATGTATATTTTCTTTATATCGATAGAGAACAAACTTAATCTTAGTATTAACAAAAATACAATATCAATATCACTGTGACACCTGGGATAAAGAAACATGGGCAAATTAGCAATTTGGAGTTGAAATTATTGTCGAGAAAGATTACAAAGAAACATGAACTACAAATACAAATTCGAATACGATACAACAGGCGATTGCTGTTTTGCACGGCTTCCAACAAAGACACCACGCATTGAATTCAATCTGCAGAACACAAAGACAAACAACAAACAAAACAAAGACAATAACGACTACAAACAAATGAAAAATCGAAAAATACAATGGTGTGGTGAATTTAGTGCTGTTATTTAACTCCAACCTCCTAATTTGGCGAGAAGAAGCTGATGACAACACACAATTTCTGAGTTTTTCAGACTACATTCCCACATTATAAAAGGGATGTGTATAGTTAAACTCATATCAAGGAAACATGCTAAACAAAGTGAGTATTCAAGTAATAAAAATGGTAAAATAAACAAAATTTTGAATCAAGATTAAAATTAAATATGACTAAAAAAAGCCTCAGCGAAATCCATATAACTCATACAAATGTTATTCCACCAAGTAGGTTCTCCCTGAAACAGGGTCTTGGCTTCACAACATCTCAGAAAGTTGGATTGTATCATCAAAGGCTAAATCAAATTAAAAAAAACTCTTGTATCAAATGATTTCAACACGAAAAGGGTAAAAAAAATGGAAATTAAACTATTGTCTAAATATGGTGAACCCTCAGTTAAATCCATTGATATCATGTGAACAAGGCTTCACCAAGTAGGTTCTCCCTGAAACAGGGTCTTGGATCCACAATGTCTCAAACAAACGGATTGTATCATCATTGGAAAAATTGATATGCAGATTTAAGGCTCAGATAATATGTAACAGCTTTATCAATCATCAAATTCTGAAGCAGAACTGGCATATAAGCTGAAGTTCAATCATCACGGCCAGATTTGAAAGCAACAACTAAATTAGCGAAAATTAAATAAATTAATGATAGAAGAAATGTGGCTCATATTAAGAAATTCAACCATTTGTTTTTAAGTTTGCTTCATCGTATAACCTCGGAAGCGCGGATAATGTGTAATCATAGCCAACAACTCTCATCTATAACCCTTAAAGCGAAGCTTTTAAACAAGAAAACAAAACAACAACCCAGAAAAATCGATTCAAATTGGGATAAAAAGGTATATAGCGGAAGTTTTTAGAGGCACAAACATTGAAAAGATAGGCCCCCACGTGAACACCGCCGAAGATTAGATCTCGGCCTCTATGACTAGCTTCATTTTCATATGCTTTATCTGCAGAAAACAAGCTAAAGGTGTAGTGAGGCCCCCAATAATCCAATAAATTAAACAAAAACAAATTCAAGATTTTAAGATGGCTCTATATCCATGATAAAGGAATCTTGCCGTTATTTTGACACAAATAAGCCGTGGAGGCAAGGCTAACCTGCAACACTAAACGGCAGCACTCTAGCACGAGCAATGGGGCTATCACCGTCATGGAGATAATCAGAGTAGCCCGGGGTGCGTCGTGCAAATGTTAATTAAGAGTACAAAATTTCAAAAAGCGCTAAACCTTAATGCTTAAGGAGATCGCCCGCTCAGCCGACGAACCCTAGATCAACCTCGCCCTGAACGCACACTGGATGAAGGAATAGGGATACCTTGCGTGGTTTATATAGACTAAAACCCTAGAAAAGCTGGCGGCTTCTTGCTTCTGGGTGTCTCCAATGTTTAATTGGGCCGTGGCCCATAAAAACGATATGGCCCATGTATCCATGCCTTTTCTTTTCTTTCTTTTTTCTTTTTCTTTTTTTGTGAGATGAGGAAATTAGCTTTAATTTTAATGCGTTAAATTAAATATATTCTTAAAATACAGTTTTTTTTTTAAAAGACATATTTTTTTTATTCCAAAAAAACGATTTTTTTTCTAATATTCTAAAAAAATAAATTTATTTTTAATGGAAGAAAACAATTATTTTTTATTTCAATATTATTTTTACAACTTTATTTTTATTTTTTATTTATTACTATTGAAATGAAATGCAACTATGAAATCATTTGTTTTTTTTTTTAAATATAAATATAAATATATTTTAAAATTGATAAGCCTCTCATAAATAATATTTATTTTTTAAATTTATATGACTTGTACAGAGAGATCTCACATCGCTGTTAGAGAGGGGACGATTATTTATAAGAATTTTAAAATGTAGTATAATGACTTTAAAATATTTTTAATATCGAGAATATAAAAGAATAATAATCCAATATTTAGAATAAAATATATGTTCATTTATAATAATACAATTTATAAATCCATTCCAATACATATATAAATAGAACTCTATTTTAATTCAATCATTATTTTCAAAATTTCATATTTAAATTGTCCCACATTTTTGGGAGAATAACTGCGAGAAATACCGGGGCAGATTCGCCGTCGGAGAACCAATTTCGTGCCGATTAAAGATTGCGGCAAAGGATTTCTACCACAAAGATAAACCCCATCTCTCCCTTCATCCTACTTCACCGGCTTCACTCTTCGGGATCTGTAAACACCCACTTCCAAATTTCAACTCCGCTGCTGATCAGATTCAGTTCTTTGCTTCGGCATTTTCGCCTCATTCAAGTGGAAACTGTATTCTGGTGGCGATCGGTAATCCTGCAAGAGAATGAGGCGGAGGCCCCCGGATTTCCGAAGGCCTGCGAGGAGAAGACTATCCAACGCGTTTTGGTGGACTCTGTGTTTCGTTTCGGTTTTGCTCTTCGTTTTCGTTCTGTGCAAAGGGAGTCGGATTGAGTCCAGGCCTGTCTTAACTAGGGTAACGATCTCTTCTTTTTTTTCAGCTTTCTCCCCAATTTTGGGTGTGCGATGAGATTCGATTAGAATGTCGATTACCGGTTTTGTTAGTTCCAACAATTGGCTATGAATTGTTCAATATACTACTGAAATACGCATTAAAGTGTTATGAAATTCGGTTGATTCTTCTCAGCTACCCTGTGTAGCTCATGAGTTTTTGTTGATTTATGTCGTGCTAATCTGACAAGGGGAAATGCCATCTATGATCTGTTTTTAAGTATATCTTCATATTTGATCTCATGCCTCTGATTGTCTGGCTTTGAAGCTAGTTTGTCTGGGTTAATTTGTGACATGAACCAATTGAAGAAACTTCAAGAAATTGATATTTCCATGAAAGAATTACGATCAACTAGAATTTCAAGTAATTTGAGGATCTTGTGTGTCTTAGGTTCTTTGAATTGCTACTGCTACAGCAACAACCGTTTGCTAAATTTTGATATTTTTCTGCACTGTTATGTAGATGTCATATAGAAATGAAAGAATTGTGGAAGGCCTCAACGTTACTGAAGAAATGTTGAACCCCAGCTCTCTAGTCCGGCAACTCAGTGACCAAATTTCTCTAGCAAAAGCATTTGTTGTGATTGCAAAAGAGAGCAGCAATCTTCAGTTTGCTTGGGAATTAAGTGCTCAAATTCGGAATTCACAAATCCTCCTCTCAAATGCTGCAACGAGGAGAGCTCCTCTGAGGATTACAGAAGCAGAAACTGCAATCCGTGACATGGCACTGTTGTTGTACCAAGCCCAGCAACTTCATTATGATAGTGCAACGATGATCATGAAGTTGAAAGCTAAAATCCAGACTCTGGATGAAAAAATGAGCTCAATCAGTGACAAGAGTTCGAAATATGGACAAATTGCTGCTGAAGAAGTCCCCAAAAGTCTGTACTGCCTTGGCATTCGCCTGACCACGGAACGATTCAGAAACTTGAACTTACAGAGGAAGCTCAATGAAAAGAAGCAGATAGATACGAAACTTAACGATAACGATCTCTACCATTTCTGTGTATTCTCTGACAACATCCTGGCCACTTCAGTTGTTGTCAACTCGACTGCTTTGAATTCGAAAAATCCTGAAAGGGTTGTTTTCCATCTCGTAACTGATGAGGTCAATTATGCAGCAATGAAGGCCTGGTTCTCAATGAACAGTTTTAGAAGGGTGACTGTTGATGTTCAGAAGTTTGAGGATTTTAGCTGGTTAAATGCTTCCTATGTCCCAGTACTCAAGCAACTCCAAGACTCGGATACTCAGAACTATTATTTTTCTGGCAGTGGTGGTGATGGTCACACTCCGATCAAGTTTCGGAATCCCAAATATCTTTCAATGCTGAACCATCTCAGGTTCTATATACCAGAAGTTTTTCCTGCGCTTAAAAAAGTTGTGTTTCTTGATGATGATATTGTTGTCCAGAGAGATATTTCTGGTCTTTTCAGTATTAATTTGAACGGTAACGTAAATGGTGCGGTCGAGACATGCATGGAGACCTTCCACAGATATCATAAGTACTTAAACTACTCCCACCCCCTTATCAGGGAGCATTTTGATCCCGATGCTTGTGGATGGGCGTTCGGGATGAATGTTTTTGATTTGGTAGAGTGGAGGAAGAGAAATGTTACTGGCATTTACCATTACTGGCAGGAAAACAATGTCGATCGGACACTATGGAAACTCGGTACACTCCCACCTGGACTGCTTACATTCTATGGGTTGACAGAACCATTGGATCCCTCATGGCATGTGTTAGGATTGGGCTATACAAACGTCGATCCTCGGTTGATCGAGAAGGGCGCCGTGCTTCACTTTAATGGCAACTCGAAGCCATGGCTTAAGATTGGGATAGAAAAGTACAAGCCCCTTTGGGAGAAGTACGTTGACTATACTCATCCTCTATTGCAAAGCTGCAATTTCCATTGATTGAACATAGAAATTTGTTTTCCCCAGCCAAGATTGTTGTTTATGAATATCAAAACATCTGGGGACATGGTGCATGGACGTGCCATTTTATCACGAATTCAAGCATGACAAGTTGCTGTGACATGAATCTTTGAATATAGATAGCCTGATGTTTTGAAGTCAATTCCTGTCCTCGTGGGTTAGAGCGAACAACATTAGACCATTTCTGTTGTGCCACTAACAGCAGTTGATTCTATATTTGTATCAGTAGCAGTCATGCTGCTCCCCAGGGATAGGCATCCTAACTTATTTGAATTTGGATGTCTAGTTCTATGGAAGTTTGCAGCACTCCCTGTTATTTATGTATTGATGGATGCGTTCTTCCTTCCAAACCCTTTCTGAAATTTGGCTATTTCTTTCGAGATGATTTTGTAGGAGATATTGTCCTCCTTTAGACTTTCCCTTCGAAGGTCTACTCAAGGTTTTAAAATGGGGAGAGATTATTACATCTACTCTATATGGGATCTCACAATCCCCCCTAGTGTCCAGCTCTAATACCATTTGTAATGGCCCAAGATTGTCGTTAGAAGATATTGTACTCTCTGAACTTTTCCTTCAAAGGTCTACTAAAAAATGGGAGAGATTTTTACATCTACTCTATGTGGGATCTCACAATCCACTTCACACACCCCTAGCGTCTGGCTCTAATATCATTTGTAATGGCCTAAGCTTGTTGTTAGAAGACATTGTTCTTTCTGAACTTTTCCTTCAATGGCTCCCCTCGTTGTAAAACGTATCCATTTTTACCCCCTTTATAAGAAATGCTTATTCGGATCTCACCATTTTCATCTTATCTAGAAAACATTTACATTTTTTAGTCAAATTCTAAACAAAAGTAAATTTTTAAAGTCATCTTCAACAAGTATTTGATTTTTTATTTTTGAAAACTTAAGAAGGGCCTTGAGTTTTTGATGTCCATCAACTTATAGTGTTACATAATCTATTGGTGCAATTAAGTTTTTACTGGACCAGCATGAGGTGAGACCAAAACTAACGATAATATATATTTTTAGACTTTTTAAATATTTAAAGATATTTTTATTTATGGGTATTTTTCTTAATTTAGTTTTTTTTATAGGAAAATAAATAAACAAACAAGGGTAGGAGGGTTAATGCGACGTCGTCTGCATTTGCTTGTGATTGTTTTGAAGCGCTCGGGTCTCTATTTCTTTGCTCCGTTTCGCTGTATCAGTGTCCTTGATCTCTCTTTCTCAGTGTAGGGAAGAAAATCTGAATCCATGGCTACCTTAGCGGCTACAGCAGTTCGTCAAGCCAGAGCCCTAACTCGGGTTTCCTCTCCTCAGTCAACCGCCACCCTTAATCAAAGGCGCGGTCTCGCTGGCGCTGCCGGTAGGTTTCATCTCTCGCTCGCATTCTTACGCATTTAGATCATCTGCTTATGTACCAATCCCATTTTCGGGTTTGTTCATTTTTTTTCTGACGAATTTTTGGTGTTTCGTTTCGAAATGGTAATCGTGGTCATATACTCCTTTCCCCGAGTTCTGTTTTAGGGTTGGCTAGCATTGATATGAGGATCTTGAAAATATGAAATGAATGTGCGAATTATTTTAGTTGTTGGAATGCGTTTTCCTAATTTGAGAACCCAATTTTGTAAGCGCAGATTTCACTCTTATTCTTCGATAACGAGGGTTCGTTGTCTAGAATTGAAAAGTGTGTGCTACATATAATTTAACTCAATTATGCATTGGAAACTTTGATATGAAATTTAAGATCCCTTTATAACCATTTCGTTTTTGTAAATTAAGCGTCCACCTATGAGAATTATACTTTTTGCATTTTTTTAATTTTGAAAGCTTGTTTTTTCCTTCTACAATTTGACTAAGAATTCAAACAATTATTTAAGAAAGGTAAAAACCACCATAAAGAAATGGTTTTCAAACGGGCCTAAAATTTGTATTTTTCTCGCACATGGTTACCTTATCGCTTGGTTTCATTGGGGACTGTCACTTTGCTATCGCCCTCATGGTGAAGAATAGAACAGGTAAAGTGAAATATAATGAAGGCATGTAAGTACTTTTTTCTGGGGAAAGAAACAATTCCATTTATGCATGAAATTACCAAAGAAGGGAGAAACCTCAAAGGGAGATGATTACAAAAAATCTCTCATGCTATGTAGGGCATGGTTGAGAGTGGTTTTAAGAACATGCCCATAGTTTTCTTTAAAATTAAACTTTCAGATTTTGTTTACAAGAATGCACTCTACACATGCATTTGAGCTCCTCTTGTAGTTCCTTTTGTAGTGTTTATATTGTGTTGGAAGAAGGATGAACCAATAGTCAAACATTAAAAGAAAAAAAGGGAAACATCAAAAGATGAAAGAATAATCCTTTTTCTTGTAAGTTTTGACTCTCTTTGTTGATATTTGCAGACCAACATGGACCGCCGAAGGTTAACTGTTGGCAAGATCCTATGAGCCCATCTAAATGGAAGGAAGAGCATGTGAGACTTACTGTTCTATATGAAATTAGTAGCTTCTTTTTCTTTCCGTTCTTTTGTTTTCCTGTCTTTTTCTTTTTTGACTTCCTATTTTATCTCAACAAGTAGTAGGATTTAATAATGAAACTAACAAAAATATTAACATTCTTAAGTTTTCTAACCAGGGTCTCTTTTTAATCTGTAATCAACTCAACAAAATACTCGATTTTATTGCTTAAGAGATAGGACGCAAGGGCACAGTTTGTAGTGTCAGTATTATAGACCAGTCTTTATTAATTTAGCTATAATTTGGAATTTATGGGATCGAATTAGGGCTAAATGCAGCTGTTTGTCTCATTGTATTACTTGTTTCTCTTCGCTCTGCATAGGATTTGATGTTGAAAATTATAATTCCTTTAAGTCAATATTTACACTGAAACTTATGAGTTTTATGCAGTTATGCACTCCTCTCCTTAAGTCTTCCTGTCGTGGAGAATAAATAAATGACGTGAATATCATACCTGTGCCGTATTTAGCTAATGAGCAAATTGAACTTGTTCTGACGGGATTGTGGACTTTTGCAGTTTGTGATTGTCTCTCTATCTGGATGGGGTCTACTTTTCTATGGAGGGTACAAGTTCTTTACCGGGGGCAAGGGAAAGAAGGATGAGGTACTTCTTTCCTTATTATCTATGCGCTCTTAATACTTAAACCGTCTTGGAAGTATTACAGGTGCTGTTAACTGAATATTATTTAATGATCATTGATTGGTGTTTATGCCTCATATTTCTGACGGAGTCAGCTTAAAAGTGCTGCCCTAGCGCTTTTCTTGGTTTTACCTTCATTTTAGCTGAGTAATTTTCTAATTTCCATGTCAGATGTAACGTGAAATGTTAGAAATAGGAAATGTTAAACCCGCCTGGAGTATTCTGGAATATTTGAAAATATAATACAAGGTCTAGAATTTATGTTTGTCAAGCAACATTAGACTACAATTGTTAGGCTCCTGTTGTCTGGAAAATGAAAAACATTTACCCGATTTCTCTCCTCTAATAACGTTACAGGATTATATCGTTTGCAAGTACGTCTACTTTTTGAATCATTTGGATCATTAGACATTGAGTATTTGTAACTTGTAACAGTATGAAGGTGGCGTAGTACAACCTAGATGTATCATTATGTAACTTTACACATGAATTTTTTCACAAGCTTTTGCTTCTCTCCTAAGTTTTTGCCCTTTGCTTTCAGAAACCTGGGGCAGCATCATAACGAGCTGAGCTATGGACATTTTCCGGCTGTTCTGAAGTTCTCCCCGAAATAATGTATACCTTAGACCTCTTGCTGTCTGCAATTTCATTTCACTCTTGAATTGTTTCTCGTATATGATCCTATCTCGTAGTTTTTTTCTCGACATTTTAGTTGTTTCATGCACGAAAGTCCTATATCTAATAATACAATTTGCCCCCAACACCTCATTCATAGAGTTCGAAGGGAGGGAATTTGTGCTCCGGAGCTTGTGATTGAACCAAGGCATTTTTGAGTAAAAAAAAACTCGGTTGATTGCTTTTTTTCGGATGACAGGTAACGAACGTTACGATGTGAATTGCTTTTTTTTTTCTTCAATTTCACAGTTAATGTGAAAGTAGTCGAGTAGAAAGTCTAGGTTTGATTACTCATAATTTAGTAACATGATCGAGCAAGCTCTATGCACTACAACACAACTAACACAACACCCATTTGCCTACTCAAATTATCAAAAAATAAACAACACTTGCATTTGATTTAGAACTCGTCCTCTGTCTCTTCCTTGTTTGTTTCTTCTTTAACGTCATCGCCCACATGAGAATTGGATTCCCTATTGAAATGACCATCGTCGTCCTGTTCTTGTTCCTGTTTTTCTTCACTTTTCTTCACTTTTAGCTCATTCTCTTCATCTGGGTTTTGCTTAATGCTATCATCTCCCACATCAGAATTGGATTCCCTATTCAATTCTTCTTCTTTTAACCTTTTGTTTTCCTCTTCTCTAGCTTCCTCTGGGTACTCTTTCATTTTCTCCTCATTGAATGTCCCTCCCTTAATGAACTTCCTATTGGTCGTGCTAGTAGCCACACTGTCTTCCAAATTTCTGTTGTTTTCCTGCTTCCTTTTCTTCGAAATCAGTCTCCATCCGTTATCCCCCGACCTTTTCTTGGCGATGTATCTCCATCTTTTTCCTCTCATCTTTCTCGTATGCCCATATTTGCCTGTTTCTGTTTTCATCTTCATCCCATCATTCAGGATCTTATCAGCTCTCTGATTTTCAATTGCTTCAGAATCATTACCTTCTTCCCCCTTGTGATCGTTGGTGATCTTAGATTCCTCGCCATCATCTTCAGAGCTCACTTGCTTCTGCACTTTCGCACCCTCTTTCTCCCTTCTTTCAGGGGTTTCCTCTGACTTTTGAGTTTCAGTTTCAGTTTCAGTTTCATCTCTTTTTGAAGTGCTTCCCTCGCTGAAGTCTGGTTTACTCTCTCCTCTGTTATTCTTCATTGATTCTAGCAATATCTCGCTTTGTTCTTCAATCTTTATTGAATCTTCATGTGGGTCTGATGGATCATTAGCAGCCACAGCTCCACGAGACTTAAGTCGACGTCTCAAATCCTCCAACTCATCTTCCTTTTGCTTGAGGCGTTGAGTTAGAACAACCACTTGAGAATTTTCATTCCCATTTTCAGTCTCTTTCTCCCTCAACATCTTGATCTCACTCTGCTTCTCTTGGAGTGCAATTCTTATGATCTTCTGCTCGTCTCGGAGCGAGTCGATGGTCGATTGCAACTCCAGCAGCCTCCTATCAAGTTCCATTTTCTGGGTTCGGAGCAAAAACATCGATTCTTTTATGTCTTCATTGTTCTTCTCTAATTCCTTACTCCGATCTCTTTCCTTCTGTTCGTTCAACACAAGAAAGGTTAAGAAATGATAGTACTACACAAGCGTGGCATTCATAGACAGAGAGATAACACATGCATGAACGAGACAGACATAAAGAGTTGACCTGGAAGAGGAGTTGAAAGGAATGGAGATCTTCGTCTGTGCGCTTGAGGAGAAGGTTGCATATGCGCCTTTCTCTGAACTTATGAAGGAGCATGACTCCAAGCAAGGCTGCCCCAAATGCAACCAGCAGCATCAGAGCGTAAGGCCTTCCTCTGCTGTTGCTGAGCTTGCTGTGAACCCCTGCAACCACACCCATTTTAGAAGAAGAAGAAGAAGAAGAAAAGTTTGGGAATTTGGGGGTGTTCTTGAAGAAGGAGAAATGGGTTATTAATTTATATGGAAAATGGAGGTTGCTTTGCTTGTCATGTAAAAAGACTACTCTGTCTGTCTCGTATGCAAGGCAGCGGAGTTGACAAGGCAGAGGGAGCATGGGCACTGCGCCCAAACCGCTGATTTTGGATGCTATATTTCTCTTTGCTCCGTTCTTTTTCTAATCTCTCTATCTTAACCCCATTTTTATTCTTCTTTCTTCCCAATCAAACAAGGTCATTTTGAACTAAAAATGTTCAAAATGATGAATCAATGTCGACTATAACATGTCAAATGTGTCTCAAAAAGTAAGAACACCAAACAAAACACACTCAAAATTAATTCGATTTATTCACACAAAATCACAAATGTTTTGAATTCGCAATAAGACATTATTTTTCTTAATTTGAATTGAACAGTAATCCGTCTATTTTCGACACCAATCCATAGTTAACGCATTGTGTTTTTTTAAGATTTGATTTGGGTTCTTGAAAAGTGATTTGATTTGGGTTCTTGAAAAGCTACGTTTGTTGGTATTTGCACTTATAATTGTATTGGGTTTTTTAGTTTAAAAAGGTATATTGTGATGTAACGTAGAAAGGCATCAATATAATGCATCTATACGTTATTTCTATACATGAACTGAATGATCTTAATACTCCAAAAGTTTTAGTTTTTAGATAACACGTGAAAATAGCTATTTTTATGCTTTTGCTGGAAGCACTACCTCTAGCTTTTTTGACTTTTCTATTTCTTTCTTTTGAAGAAAAATCTATTTTTTAATTAATTACGGGATTCCATATTAAATTAAATTTATTCGTCAATTCTTACACTAAAAGAATAGATATTAACAATCTATTGGATGAAACTAAAAGCTTAATAAAATTGGAATTGATTCTCAAAAGAAAAAAAAAAAAAAAAGATGAGTGGGCTGTCTCTGAAAACCCTCGGGCTGGACTACCGTCAAAGCCGCCAAAAGCACCCCAATTTGGAGACTGCCCGGATGTCCCAATGCCTAGAGAGGATTGAGCTCTCTTGATTTTGGCGGAAGAGAACCGCCCTCGTGGACAAGACCCCCTCTTTGCTAAAATTGAAGCTACCCCAGCAGCCCCAACAGGTAAAATTTACAAATAAACAAGTTTTCCTTTTCTCGATAAATTAGTTTCCATGGACGACATCTTCGATTCCTCCCTCAATCTTGAAGAGACCCATTTGAAGGAAGGCTACGCCGAGGGCTACAAAGACGGCCTAGTCGCTGGCAAAGAAGAGGCAAAACAAGTAGGCCTCAAAGTTGGTTTCGAGGTCGGCGAGGAAATTGGGTTCTTCAGAGGGTGTGTGGACGTCTGGAAATCTGTTATTCTGATCGACCCAGAACGGTTTTCGAGTCGGGTTCAGAAGAGTGTGAAGCAGATGGAGGAGTTGGTAGAACAATACCCGCTTCAGGACCCTGAGAATGAGCAAGTTCAGGAGCTGATGGAAGGATTGAGGCTCAAGTTCAGAACGATTTGCGCCACTCTGGGTGTCAAATTAGAGTATAGTGGCCATCCTAAATCGGCTTCAGATGGAAAAGAGATCTTTTAGGAGATTTCACAGCTGGTGATGAAACGATTGGTGAAATTTGGGAGCTTTAGATGATTGTTTACTCTCTTCTTACACTTAATAACAACTCTCTGCTTCATCTTTTGTGGAGAGGTCCTTTGGTTGCGGTGTTAAGGCGGGCTGTGTTGTTTGCATTTTTACATTTTGTTTCTGTTATAATTTGAAAATAGGAAATTGGAAAGATAATTCCATAATGAAAAATATTTCTTGTTTCAAGTTTATCGTACTAATGACATTCACACTTGTTATATTTTGGATATGTTGTAACACCACCGGTAGATATTGTTCACTTTGGCCTGTTTACGTTCGTTAGCCTCATAGTTTGAAAATGCGTCTACTAGGGAGATATTTCCACATCGTTATCAAGAATGTTTGGTTACCCTAAAACATCAAGAGGTGTACCATTGAGTATGATGGTCCCTCAAGGGGGTGGATGGTGAGAGACCACATCGGTTGGAGAGGAGAACGAAACATTCCTTACAAGAATGTGGAAACCTCTCCCTAGTAGACGCGTATTAAAATCATGAGGCTGACAGCGATTCGTGATGGGTCAAAGCGAACATATGTAAGCGGTAGGCTTGGGCTGTTACATATGTTGAGCATTTTTCATTTCGTGCTTAGATGAACGCACGTGCAGCATTGCTTGACTGTTCAAATAATGTTGGATTGGCTGGATAAATGAGTTTTTTTTTTTAATCAAAGATAAATTCTAGGCACAAAGTTGCATCTTTCAGCTACTAGTTGTTACATGTACATACAATTTTGTGCAGCTAGTGACCTGCAGTAGGGAGAAAGTAATGTCAAAATTGGCTCTTGCTTGCTGCAAGGTTTACATATCTGAAAGCAGAAACAAGGCTGCGCTGGAGTCAATTGAACAAGCTGCCAAGCTCTTCCCTGAAGCACCCATTATCAACAAGCTCACGAATGAGGTTTACAATAGAGTTGGGTATACCCTTGTTTCCAAGCTCCCATCAAAGCCATCTATAAAGCCATGTTCTCTGAGAAGTGCAGTCCTGAACATGGTTAAGGCTGCATTTTCGGCAATCGACTTGGACTCGCATTGTGGCAGCCACCCACGACTCGGAGTTGTAGATCATACATGCTTATATCCTTTGGCCTTTGCTTCCTTGCACGATGCAGCTGCAATTGCAAAATCTCTGGCAGCTGATGTTGGATGTGGCCTACAAGGTTTGTTCTTTGCACACCATACCATAATGTTAAATTTTAGGCTGTGAAAATGAGAGGAATGCTAACTTCAGTGGCATTTCCATTCATATGATCAGCTGATAAAACAGTGACATAAACTTCTGCTCTGTATTTCTCTCAACTTTTTTCATGCGCTTCTTTAAGGCAGTGTTCACATGTTAGATATGATCTTGTTCCTTGCCTCTTTTCAAAGAAGACATTCGATTCTAAGACTCCTAACCTTAATGCTGTGCTTGTGCTTTTGCTCATGCCTACTGCTAGCAGATATTATCCTCTTTGGGCTTTTCCTTCTCAACTTTCCCTCAAGGTTTTAAAATGTGTCCACTGGGGAGAGGTTTCCACATCTTTATAAGAATGTTTCGTTTCCCTTTCCAACTGACCTAGCGGACGTGTTTTGTATAAAAGGTTTTAAAATGTGTTCCCTAGGGAGAGGTTGTTACAAATGGTATCAGAGTCAGACACTGAGCGGTGTGCTAGTGAGAAGCTGGGCTCCCAAGAAAGGTGGATCGTGAGATTCCACATCGGTTAGAGAGGGGAACAAGGCATAGCTTATAAGGGTGTGGAAACCTCTCCCTAATGGATGTGTTTTAAAATGGAGAAGTTCGGAAAGGAAAACTCAAAGAGGACAATATCTGCTAGCGGCGAGCTTGGACTATTACACTTTAGAAGCTAGACTTTGTCAAAAAACCAAATATCGTTGCGTTAGGTTTTTCCAAGAGTTTCATGCTATCAATTGCCTTGTGTTATCCTTCTGTCAATTATATTCTGAGGTGCTGGTGATCTAAACTATAGCCTGCAGTCCCAACATTTCTATATGGAGCGGCTCATGAAGAGGGAAGGAAGCTAGCCACGATCCGAAGAGAGCTGGGTTATTTCAAGCCAAATTCTGATGGCTTATGGGCTGGAGGGCTGAAATCAGATTCATTGCCACTAAAGCCAGATGAGGGTCCAGCTGAAGCAAGTAAAGCAAAAGGGGTCATCGTGATAGGAGCAACAGAGTGGGTTGATAACTACAACATCCCGATCTTCTCTACCGATATCGTCGCTGTTCGTAACATTGCAAAGCAAGTCAGTGAGAGAGGAGGTGGGCTTCCTTCAGTTCAAGCAATGGCCCTTGCTCATGATGAAGGTGTGATTGAGGTGGCTTGTAATTTGCAACAACCAAGTAAAGTGGGAGGAAAAATGGTTCAGCAGGAGGTTGAACGGCTTGCAGAAAGTGAGGGATTAGGTGTGGGGAAAGGTTACTTCACAAGCCACTCGCAAGAGGCTATGATAGAAAGGTACCTCAAACTTCTTTCTACTATGTAATCTTGAAGTAACTTAAGATTTTTGCTTGATCTCTTATATTCTGTGTATCTTATGCTTTGGATCTTATACGAGATCTTGATATCGAGCTGAATGTTTTGATCTTTTGAGTACAAAATACAAGCCCACCAATAAAGTTGTGAAACCTTTCCCTAACAGATGTGTTTTAAAAATTTTGAGGGAAAGTCCGAAAGAGAAAGTCTAAAGAGGACAATATTTGTTAGCAGTGTGTTTGAGTTGGTACAAATGGTATTAGAGTCAGACACCGGACAATATGCCTATGAGGACATTAGGCCTCTAGGAGAGGTGGATTGTGAGATCCCACATTGGTGGGAGAGAAGAATGTAGACGTTGGATCCCAAGGGGTGGATTTGTGAGATTCCACATTGATTGAAGAGTAGAACGAAACATCTCTTATAAAGGTGTGAAAATCTCTCCTTAAAAAATATGTTTTAAAGCAGACAATATTTAGTAACGGTGAATTTAGGTTGTTACATCAGACCAAAAAAATAAAATATAAGCCTTTTATCAGATTTGTATAACAGTAATGTTATTGAGCTCTCTAAGCAAACAGTGTTCATTGAATTGTCTTATTACAATGATTTTTTAAGAGAAATATGGACGATCTATGAATCCAAATGTGAAGCATAAGATGAACGAGAGGTTGAAATTGAAGGACACGACATCGGAACATAAAGCATAATCTTATCTATTGCTATTGAATGTCCGATGTATGTATGATTCGCTGTTATCCACATCGCTATCCACGCACTGATGACTGTTCATTATTTAATGTAACTTTCAAGTTTAGGTTTTTAATTTTCATTTCTTAAATAAATTCTCGAATTTTTTAATTTTTTGTGTGCCATAGATCTCGACATATTCTACATTTTCTTACAAAATTGAGGAATTTGTTGAATTTTGTGGCCTAAGCATAACACAATTGTCTATCCTTGTACAAGGTTTCACATCGATAGGAAAAGGACGTGAAAAAGATGTGGAAACATCTCTCTAGTAGACGTATTTTAAAAACATTGGTAGGTAGTTCGAAAAGGAATGCCCCAAAAGGATAATATCTGCTAGTGGTGAGATTAGACTGTTACAAATAGTATCAAAGTCAAACGCCGAACGGTGTTTTAGTAAGGACGTTGGGTCCTGAAAGGGGTAGATTGTGAGGTTCCACATCGGTTGGGGAGGACAACGAAGCATTCTTCATTGGGTGGAGTGTCTGCGAGGACACTGACTCTAAAGGGGGATGGATTGTGAGATTCCACATCGGTTAGAAAGGAAAACGAAACATTCTTTACAAGAGCGAGCGGAGAAACCTCTCACCCCAAATGGAAAGTCGAAAGATGATACTGTTGAACAAAATGAAGCATTGAGCACGTGGATGGATTAGAAAATGAAGGAAAAGTCGTCTGGTTTTTTAGCAGACGGAGGACGCTGAATAAGACTGGTAGCCGCTCCAGACATAGTGACTTGGGACACAATCGCAGCACTCCATTTGGGTGACTTTAAAGTTGTTAGAACTCACGGGTTCACATCTCCCCCGACCCCCAAAATCCCCCTTTTAAAACCTCACCCTCTTCCCCCTAATCTGCAACAAACAACCACTCTATCAGATTCACACCTACAAATGGCTTTCAATCTCACCGCCAAGGTAAACACTCTGTTTCTCTATCCCAACCTCTGTTTTCTTTTCTGATCTTCTGTTCATTTCAGGACAAGAGAATAAGCTTGGAGCAAAAGGAACTTCTGTGTTGCAAATACTACGTTTCTGAATCCCGCAATCGCTCTGTACTGGAAGCCATCGAGAGAGCTGTAAGCCAAGACCCAGATTCTGTAATCGTCAACAAATTCGAAGACAGAGCTTACAACAGGACCAGATACACCATCGTCTCCTACGTCGTCCACGACGCTAAAGGAAACGCCATTTACAGCCCATTGCACCAAACAGTTCTGGCCATGACTGAGGTTGCTTTCGCTGACATCAACCTCGAGTCCCATTCTGGCGCTCACCCTCGTCTTGGAGTCGTCGACGACATCGTTTTCCATCCCCTGGCTCGGGCGTCACTTCACGAAGCCGCTTGGCTCGCTAAGGCGGTCGCTAAGGATATGGCCACTATGTTTCAAGGTCTCTATATGATTCAAAATCAAAACTTTTTAATGGGAATTTCGTCTTAGTGTTGAAATCGTTTGTGATTTTGTGCAGTGCCTGTTTTTCTGTACTCTGCGGCTCATCCAAGCGGGAAGGCGCCGGACGATTTGAGACGGGAGCTTGGGTATTTCCGGCCGAATTACAATGGGAATCAATGGGCTGGGTGGTCGATGCCGGAAACTTTGCCGGAAAAGCCTGATGAAGGTCCGAATTCTGTATCTCGAGAGAGGGGAATTACAATGATCGGTGCGCGTCCGTGGACGGCGATGTACAATGTTCCGATATTGTCGACCGATGTGGCCGCCACTCGGAGAATAGCGCGGATGGTGAGCGCTAGAGGAGGAGGGCTGCCGACGGTGCAAACCATAGGGCTTCTTCACGACGATGAGACGACGGAGATAGCCTGCGTTTTGCTGGAGCCCAACCAGATCGGAGCCGATCGTGTCCAGAGACGGGTAGAGGTTCTTGCCGCCCAATTTGGGTTGGAAGTTGAGAATGGTTATTTCACCGATTACTCGCCGGAGATGGTTGTCGAGAAATACTTGAATTTGATCGCCGGAGATCACTGATTACCAATGATTTCTGTAATGGAGATTCGGATTTCGTAATAAAATGGAAATGGAAATTGTAAAAATACAGAATAATTGAAGCTCTACAATAATCTGCCTTTTTTTTTTTTTAATATTAATGTAAAAAAAATAGAAAATAAAAGTCAATAATTTATCTTGAATTATTTAAACAAAGTTTGAAAAAATAAAATGATACATTATTATTATTTTTTAATTTCTCATCTAATTATAAAAAGACCATTCGGGAAATAGTCCCTTTTTTATTTTTTCTTTTATGGAATTAATTTTATTGGAAACGTATTTTTTGGGTTTATTGATAAAGACTATTTAAAATTATCTTAAAACTCTGTTCTTGTGAGTCGTGTTTCTCTATGTTGAAAATAATTTAAATTATTTTTTAAAATAATTAAATTATTGTTGGTAGTATCGGTATAATAATTGAAATTAGTTAATATTTTTTTTATGTTTATTCTTTTGTGTCTTTTTCCATGTCATCAAGTAGAAGAAAACAAGTGTATTGAAAAAACAAATCCTAAAAAATCTAAATTAGAACGGTTAATTCAATACACAAAAAAAGTAATTATTGTATATTATTTTTTAATGGAAAATTTTAGAATTCTAATTAATTAATTTTAAAATACTTCAAATTCATAAGAATTTATTAAATAATTTAAAAGTTTATGGATTAAATAAATTTAAAATTTAAAACTAATTAGACCAAAATATGGTTTATAATATTACGTAATAAATAAGGGACAAGAAATCTATTATTATATTTTATATCCAATTGGTTGATCATGACGAATGAAAAGGATTCCTCTTAAAACATGCTTTTTTTTTTCTTTTTATTCTATGAACATAATTTTTAAAAATTTAAATTTTTATATAAAAACATAATATTCCACTTTAAAAAAATTCAATCTTCTTATTCAAATGAAAACTATAATATATGATATTCGGTTGATGAAGACAAACTTCGCTAAGGTTCGAGAAACTATAAAATCGGGCAAAAAATGGATATAGGGCTTGAGTTTGGCCGTGAACTTGTCAATATCACAATGCCACTCGGTTGGAAAAGTACACAGTTGGTATCAGAGCTACCATTTGGCATAAATGAGTTAGTTTGTGGTACAGTGAGAGCGAGCGTTTAGAGACGAGTGTCTTGGGCGACTTCTTTTGAAATAGTATATATATAATGGGGTAGAGCGAGACGAGTGTCTTGGGCGACTTCTTTTGAAATAGTATATATATAATGGGGTAGAGCGAGACGAAAATTGAACAGGGACGACAATGACACGATAGAATGAGATGGGAAATTGAGCGGGAACAATGATGACTGAGGGAGACAAAAATCTCCAAAATTCCCAAAAATCTCTCATTATTTTTTTACTATAAATCTCTCCAAAGGGTAATGGTAAAATTTGAGAGGTAAAAGTTAAATGGAAGATAGAAAATGGTGAGGAAATGAGAGGGAGGGTTAGAAAATTCAGAGGTTACAGATTGAAATGAATAAACTAGGGCCCATCAACTTACCCTGCTCCTGACAGCACCCAATATTTCCCCTCCATTCACAATTTATGCCCTCTCTATTCTTTTTTTGTGGCTAAAATTATGTAACACGTGAAATCTTTCGTCCACACGTACTAGGAATTTAAAATTAAATTATATACTCAAATTATGCTATACCAATTCTCATATTAAATGGTCGATACTAAACTAAACAAGAATCGATAATCTAGTTCAGTCTATACCTACATCTGTTATCACTGAGTGCACGTCTCGGTCCATGAAATTTTACACAACTCGACTCCCTCGACTCTTTTCCTCCGTTTCTAGGGAACTGTTATTCAAAACTCTATTAAGTCTAAGCACTTGTTTCCTTAAAATAAACAAATCTGTTGATCTCACTTACAAAAAAAAATGATGTCTTAAAAAATTTAAAGATATCTTCTGATGACTTTTCTGTCTTCTATCTTCAACAAAAAAAAAAAAAAAAACTAATTTATAAAAATAATATTATATCCAAATTTCGAAAATAAATCACGAGATTTTTTTAATTTTAAAATACAAATAAAATCTTTAAAAAATATTTTCTAAAAAAAAATAGCACCTTTTTATAAATAATTGTGAATATTTCTCAAAAGTTATTAAAATTTGACGTTACAAATGGCTTAAAATAACTTAAAATATTCAAATAAATTTGATCCATAAAAATTCGAAATTTAGTCTTTACTATTTTACACGTTTTAATATCATGTTTATAATTTAAAAAGATAATAAAAATTTCAATTTCTATTAAATTTGTAATTTAATATTTTAAAATAAAAAATAATATGAACCACGCGTACATTATAAAAATGATATTTTATTAAAGAGATCTATTTTTAAAATGTATTTAAGCTTGGAAACGTTTTTTTTTTAATTATAATTTAAAAAATTATTCCACCCCATCTGGCAACCGTCATTTCCCTCTTTTTTTTAATAATAAAATATCATAAACTTGTTAATGAAGGCAACTTTTATTTAAATTTTATCCATTTCTTTTATTTTTAAATTATAAATGTCCAATCGTATCCATCACCATAAATCGAATCCCATTAATTTAATTAAATTCAGTCATCAAATTGAAATATATTATTACTTTTACATTTTCATATTAAATTATTTTTCTTCTCATATATTTTTTTATTCACCTTTCAATTATATTTTTTTTTCGAAGGAGAATATAGAAAATATGTAAATAAAAAAAAAACATTTTACTTTTTTTTTTTTAGAAATTTATTTAATCCTCTTTTTTTTTTTTAAATGTATATTTATTTACAAACAAAATACAAAGAAATTCTCCCCTATAAATTTATAACTATAATATAGTTTTTGTTTGAGTTGATCTCATCAAAATCGACTCTATTTATGACTAAATTAATATTATTGATGTCACGCACGTTGGTTGGAGAGTGTAACGAACCATTCCATCTAAACGTGTGGAAACCTCTTACTAATAGACGTGTTTTAAAACCGTGAGATTGACGGCGATACATAACGAACAAAAGCGGACAATATCTGCTAGCGGTGAGTCCAAAACTGCAACAGGACAAAACGTGAGTTTAGCCAAAGCAGACAATACCATTCTTAATGATTTCGATCCTTTCAAAATTACTCCCAAACATGTCAGATGAATTTGGGCCGATCGCCCAAAAAAAAAAGAAAAAAAGGGCAACATTTTTTGTGATACAAGAAGAGTGAACACAAAAGCTATTCTTATTCTTTTGAGCCCAACCCATTAGCAACTGTCTGCTTCAAATCAAACATTGTAAAGTCTGCTCCTTTCTGTACTTTCTGTCAGCATAATACAAAAGAAAAATCATTCAACAAAACCGGTGGCATTGAAATTTTGGTCCTAATCCTCTTCAACTTCAATCAATCCTGCTACTGTTACTAACCCAGAAGCCCATTTCGCCTGTTTTTCATGTTTTCTCCTGTTTCTGCCCCCATCGACGGCCCTGATTGATATCAACCAAAATGATGAACACTCCAATTCTGGCCAGGAAACAGTATCAACGACGGCGACGACGACCAAGATTCCATAATCAATCAGTTTTAACCATAATGATTGGTTTCACATCAGATACAAGAAGCTAATCAGGGTGAAAGAGTTGCGCAATGCTCGATGTGCAAACAGGGCACAGGGCATCATGCAGCGATCAATCGCGCGCAGCCCAAGACAGGGCCACACCGTAACTGCATGGAAACAAACCCAAGTGAATTGTTGAAGATAAAGGTACCTTTTTTGTTCTGTAGAGGAACAAGAGTGAGCTCATCCGAGAAGACGTCACTAATAGAATGCATCGCGGTGAGGGTAACCAATGTGATTATGGTTGACAAGATTTGAGGTATGCGGCTGTGGGTGTCCATCATGCACCACTCCATGCATTGAACTCAACCTTTACCATTTACTTACAACAAAATTTCATTTTCAACTGCCTTGAAGAAGACCTCAAAACTCATATTTTCAGTTTCTGGGTCTTAAAAGTGGTGAGATTTTGAAGACCCTATTGGCTAGAAAGTGAAGCTAAATGCTTAAAGTTTAAGGCAAATGGCATGGTGGGTTGCGTGGGTTGCGTGAGTTTGTGGTCTGTATCCGCAAGATTAATAGAATCGATAAGTTTGATTCAAATAAGTACTCGTTTGTGTACTGTCAAACTTGCTTTCAACTTATCGAAAAGAGTATCAGTTGCTAAAGTACATTTCCTGAAAACAGTGCGTCTCGGGAACAAATTCAATAAAAAGACGACAACAAATCAAAAGGGGGAAGGGGAAGAAGAACTGATAATAAGCGAGTGCCTAAAATTGAAATGAAGCGAGTGAGTGAAAGGCCCTCTTCTATTTCTGTTCTCTAATGTCATATCATGCAAATAGCCTCTCTAAACCCTTTAACCGCCCCCCACTGTTTCGCCCCACGACATTTGTTTTTCTGATAGCCAGCTCATTCTTTCTCTCTCTTTTTCTTTTTCCAACCCTTTTCTCCACCAGATCTCTCGGAGTGATCCATGGAGATGCGTGCTTATTGAAACTCTCCGTGGGTTTCTGAAATTTTCTCTTTATTTTTTACCCTTCAAACTTGTTTCCCCAATAACCCATTTCATAGCGAGTGCAAACCCTCTCATTCTCAAATTCTTTTGGGCTTTTCTTTGATTTCGCTTCAATATTCCATCTGGGTTTTCTGAGTTTGCATTGAAAGAAGCGTTTTCTTTAGCGAAAATGGCGAATGGAGTAGAAAGAGAAGTGGGGTTGAGCATTTTTAGCGACGCGGAGCTGAGTGAAATGAGTGGGATTAAACGAAGTGGAGACCATATAGAGGTTACCTGCGGATGTACGAGCCACAGATATGGTGATGCTGTAGGGAGGCTTAGGGTTTTTCTTAATGGTGACCTTGAAATCACCTGCGAGTGCACCCCTGGTTGTCAGGAAGGTCTTTCTCTCTCTCTCTCTCTCTTTCCCTTCTATTCCTAGTTCTGTCTCTCCTCGCTCTTCCTTGGAATGGATGTTTTCTCTTTTGCATGTTAAA